CTCTTCCTTCTTCCTAGTCTGTCTCAGTCTGTAAGCTGGGATGATACCTGTACACCATGTGCATCCCGCTGGGTTTGAAACACCAGTGGCTCAGCCTCAAAACTCACATCAACATGTCACCACAGTAGGACAAACTGACAGACAAGTTTGCCTCCCTGTTGGAAACCTCTCATACTACCCTTACCTGGGTCCCTGCGGCTGACCCAGGTAAGGATGAGACCATGCAGTAAGGTGTATGGAACCCTAACAAGAGGAATGGTCAGTTTTGCCATCTCACTAGGCTTAAAAGAGAGCCAATCCCAGAGCATGAGAGGGACCTGACTACCACCAAGAAAAGCACACATCCTTTGCACTTGGGGACCCCATGCTGGGAACCTCCTAGACCCAGGAGACAAAGAGCTGTAACACCAGAGATGTTAAGAATCAGCAAAAGAGAAACAGCGACAACAGAGGCAACAGAACCAGGAGCCCGGCACAAGACTGTGCAGTGGGCTTCCCAGCCCAGAGAGACAAAAAGCTGAGTACCTTCAGGCAGGAGGCTTGCTGATGGAGTAGTGCCTCTGGGCCCCTGGCAAAGCTAGGCTTGTAGATCCATGGAGTGAGAGCTGAGCACATTTGGGCAGGAGGCTTGCTGGCAAAGTGGGGTGCTTCTGGGCACTGACCAGGGTAGCTAAAGAGCTTTGTAACACTTGCCCAAGTAGGGCAAAGGCCAAGCTTATCCAAAGGGCTGAGGGGCCAAGGGCCAGGGAGAGGCATGCCTGTGGGCACAGCTGAAAAGAGGCTGTCCTGACTGAAAAACTGTAACCTGAGTCTTTCCTGATCCTGAATGATAATCCATTACTTCCTTAATGAACCTTATAATCTTTTGTTATCCTGCTGAGTTTAAAATGAGCCATCCCTGAAGTAGAAAGTGGAGACCTGACTTCCACCAAGAAGAAGAGATGGAAGCAGGATGCATTCATTGGACCCAGGGTCCCTACACTGTGAAGTTCCTGGACCCAGGAGACAGAGAGTGAGAGAGTAGTAACACAGAGACGGTAAGAAATGGCGAGAAGCAGCAGCAACAGCAACAGCAAAACCAGGAAACAAGTAAGATGCTCAGAGGGCTTCCTGGCCAACAGAGCAAGGCAGTTATAGTGGGTGCATCAACCCACATAGTGAGAGAGCTGAGTGTCTTCATACAGGAGCTTTCTAGTAGAGTGGGGTACCTCAGAGCACTTGGGGAGGGAACTACCTTGGCGACTCACAGAGTGAGAGAACTGGGTGCCTTCAGGTCAAGGCTTACTGGCAGAGTGGGGTGTCCGCAGGCACTTATCAGCAGAGCTAAAAGAGCCCTGTAACATTTTCCCAAACAGGGTAGAGGTTGAGTTGTCCCAAGAGGTCCAAGGGCCCAAGGACTGAGAGGCAGAGGACCAAGGAGAGTCCTGCCTGCGGGTTTGGCTAATAAGAGGCTTTCCTAACCAAATTACTATATCCTGAGTCTTTCCTAAACATGAATTGTAACCTGTTACTTCCCTAATAAACTCCGTTAACTGTGAGTACTGTCTGTGAGTTCTGCACGGCCATTGCAAAGAATTATGAAAGCCAACAGAGAAGTAAAGAGTGTCAAAGGAGGGATAGTTGGCTAGTGTCAGAATTAGTAAAAAGTCTAGAGAGAGGAGGTATGTCTGACCTGTGCCACACTTGGGCTGATAGTGATTCTCTCCCTTGTGAGGTCAGACACCTCCTTCATATCACCTTTCTTTTTTTTTTTTACCTTATCAAAAAGAAATTAATTTTCTCACAGGTTAGGGGGCTGGAGATACGAATTCAGGGTGCAGCTCTAGAGGAAGGCTTTCTCTCTGTGTCGGCTCTGGAGGAAGGGCCTGGTCTCTTTGAGCTTCTGCTCCTGGGTGATCTTTACATGGCTTGGCATCTCTCTTCCCCCATCTCTGCTTCATTCACTTTCTTGTTTAATATCATTTATATTTCAAAGGAGTCTCCATGACACTTTTACAAGTATTATCAATGTTAAATTTCCTGAGTGTGACAACTGCATTGTAGTTATATAAGAGAATGATTAACATCTTGTTTTGGAGATGCACGCTGAAGTATTTTTAGGGAAGTATTGTGATGTACGCAACTATTCAGAAAAACTATGTATGTATGTAGAAAGAAAGATGAAATGAATGTGGCCAAAATGCTAACAGTTGGTGAATTTATGTGAAACATATATGGGTGGTTCAATGTACTATTCTTGGAAATTTTGTATAGTGAATTTTTCCAAATAAAAAGTTGTAAAGGAAGACGTGAAACTAAAGATAATGAAATACCAAAGATTTCAATTATTTAAACCTAAAACAGTGAAGAGCATCCTTCTGACAGACACCCAATGACCAGGCTCCCTCCTTTACCTGCTGTATTCAAACATCGATGAAGAGGAGCTAACACTGGTTGAAGTAAATACTTTGATGCCAATTGTGGGTGTTCCCTTGACATAGTGATAAAGGTAGTGGTGGCAACTCTCTGAAATTGTCGTGCTGTCAATTTATCTTGAAAGTGAAATAAATCCAGAATCTAAAAGAAAAATTACATGAAGTAAACTATGGCTCTTTACTAGAAGCATTACATTAACTAAGAAGAGAAAGCATTAATTCATTTAAGCTGAAAAATAAACACATTGAAATAACACTGATTAAACAGATTTTTTTTTTTTTTCAATTTGACAACCCAGTCCCAAAGGGTATGAGAGCTGAAGAGGCTATTTTTTTAATAAATAATTTTATCAAATTTATAAAACACATGCTCAACATAGAAAATAAAATTTTAAGAAGAAAATTAAAACCTTTAGTTTTTAATTTAATGTACAGGGATGGACACAGGGAAGAGGTAAATATTGGGAAGAAGTAGAAGGGGAGGTGTTGCATTGGGGTAAATTGTAGTCAATGTCATGAGACAAAGTGTATGTATGTGAACTGTTGTATGGAAAGTGAATTTGTTCTGTAAATTTTCACCCAAATCACAATTTAAAAAAAAAGAAGAAGAAGAAGTGAGAGCCAGGACATGCATGCCCATGTTCATTGCAGCACTATTTACAACAGCAAAAAAATGAAAACAACCGAGGTGCCCATCAACAGAAGAATGGATAACCAAACTACGGTACATACACACTATGAAATACTATGCAACCCTAAAGAATAACATAGAATCTGCAAAACATAACGTGGATGAACTTGGAGGACATTATGCTGAGTGAAATTCCTCAATCACAGAAGGCCAAGTATTATATTAGTCCATTATTGTAATAAAGTCAAGGAGAGGTTTATACATGGAAGGAAAGTTTCTTTGTTGGTTACCAGGGGTGGAAGGGGAGGAGAGGGAACATTGCTAGAGAGACAGAGACAAGTACTGATTTGGATGAAGGGAAAGGCAATGTACCAAATGTGAATGATGAACATGGTAGCATTGAGGAAGATAAAGACATACAGAGGTACATGGGAGGTACAGACAACAAAGATGAACTCTTTTGCACATACTGTACTGCGTTGTCAGTGACGGCAAACATTGATCTATGGGTGGATAGATGGGTGGACAGGCTGAACATTTAAGTATATCTATGCAGGGGGGAGTATGCCCATGACCGTGTATAGGGTTGGCAAACAATATTTCTACAAGTGTATTTGTATGTTCTGTAAGAATTTTTAGGTATATAGTAGAGCTGACAAGCGACAAGTTTGTAGTCACTTCTTGGCCACAGCCAGCTACCTGGAGGGAGCGAGTATTTGGATCTCTGGGCTCAGGACCACAGTCCCAGAGGACATCAAGCTCAATTGGCATAACATACTACACAAAAACATTGTTCCACATCCTACTTTGGTGAAAAGTGACTGGGATCTTAAAAGCTCGCAAGCGGCCATCTAGATACAACAATAGCAAACAAGAATGAAGAAAACCAAAGATGCATGGAAACAATTAGTCCAAGGGACTGGTACACCATGCAATCCTCAGCCTATATGACTATGAGACCAGAAGAACTAGATGGTGCTGGGCTACCACTGTCAACCACTCAGAGGGGGATCTATGTAGGAGATCCTGGATACAGCAGGAGAACAAGGTGGAACAAAAATCAAAATCATTTTAAAGAAAAATCATCAGGTTTGCTGGTCTGATAGAGCCTGGTGAAACCCCTGAAACTATGGCTCCTAGCTGCCCTTCTGGAATTGAACCCACTCCTGCAGGTTCTAGCCAAACAAAAGACAGGCACATGAGCTGAACTTTTATGTTAGGTAGATACATTCCTTGGAGAGATCAATCACAGGAGAGTGGAAGGGCTGTGTATGCACAGGGAGACAGCTTAGGGGGTAGGAGTACACGGAGTGAAGGACACAGGGAAGAGGTAACTGGGGAGGAAGTGGGAAGAGAGCTGTTGCATTATGGGAAATTGCAGTCAATGTCATGAGATAAAGTGTATATGAACTGCTGTATGGAAAACGAATTTGCTCTGTAAACTTTCACCCAAATCACAATAAAAATTAAAAAAAACTTTTGTCCGTATTGCTTATGAGTGGGTTTATCCCAATATTAGCAATCCACAGAAAATTCATTTTGGATTCCTGATTTAAAAGTGACTCTTATTGTAGAAAGGAGAACCTTCTATCTGCAAACTATACATGGCCTCTGACACTCCCAGAGACTCAACAGGCCTGAGAGCTGTGGTTTGATTTTCTCATTTTATCAAGTACCTAAACTACAGTTACTAATTAAAAAAAAAAAAAAAAATTTACTCTTCATTGCAAGTGGTAACTTTGTTTTGTAAGATAAGTAATTTATTAGTACTTTTTAATATGAGATCTTTGTATTATGATATTGTTTCCATGCATGCCTACTCACAAGAACCCTGAAGATGAGTATAACAACTCAATGACCTTCCTTGACTTGAGTACAAAAGATATAATGTCTGATATCTAAAGTCAAAGGGAAATTTGAGCAAATTTTTCATCTATCTGAATAGCAAAGATCAAAAAGTTTTGTAACAACTGTAGACAAATGTATAGGAAACATACATGAACAAAATCAACCAAAATTTTAAAAGTACACACCTTTTTACATCAGTAATTCCAATTCTAGGGATTTTTCCTACGGCAATAATCGTATGTATGCACAGACATGGATAGTAACTATAGTGTGGTGTATAATGACACAAAAGAGTGGAAACAAATCAATAGAGGGCTGGTTAAAGAAGTTAAGATACATTACTTTGATGAAATATTATGTCCCCATTAAAAAGAATCAGGCAACTCTAGATGAAATAGTTCTATATGAAATGGTCTCCAAGGGACACTGTTAAGTGAAAAAAGCAAAATGAAAAAATGTGTGTATAGCATGTTACCATCTGACAAAAATTAAAATATATACACACGTACATGTACATACAGACCAGACCAAAAAAAAAAATCAAACTCACTGCTGTCGAGTCGAATTCGACTCATAGCAACCCCTCCTTGGGTTTCCGAGGCAGTTATCTCTACGGAAGTAGATTGTCCAGTCTTCCTTCTGAGGAGTGGCTGGTGGATTTGAATCACCAGCCTTCTGGTTAGCAGTCAAACACCTTAGGCACTATGCTACCAGAGTTCCATACACTTGTAAATACATAAAACCTAAAATATCTTTTAAAATATATACAAGAAATTGGTAACAATAATGACCACTGAGAGAGTAGGGGACAGGGATGGAGGAAAACTTACTTCTCAGTAAGTAGTTTTTTGTACTTTTTAAATTTTGTACCATGTAAATTTACTTTATTCACTTAATATCTATTAAGAACTAATTAAAAACATACAGAGAGAAAATATAATCAACAGGATGAAACTTTAGTTTCATATTCTAGCTCTGAGTGCAAGCCAGGGTAGTCCTTTACTAATGGTGAGGCACAAACTTTCTGGGGCATGGAGGTAGATGAACCCCTGAAACTACTGCCCTGAGACAATCTTTAAACCAAAAATATCTCTAAAAGTCTTCTTAAAACCAAACAATAGTATAGCTTAGTAAACAATGTCTACCTTGAGCATTATGTTCTTTTAAGACCAAGGTGTATGGGATGAAATTGACAACAGCAAGGATTAGACAGGAACCTTAAGGGCAGTGAGTTTATGTTCATGGGGAAGGATCAACTCAGAAAAGGAGGGTGAGAATGGTTGTACAACTTGAAGAATGTCATCAATGTCACTAAACCGTACACGGAGAAACTGTTGAATCGGTGTATGTGTTGCTGCATATATTCTCAACAGCAACAACAAAATAAATTAAAATTTTTTTTAAATAATAACACGAGGCATTCTTAAACCTAACAATTAAGTCAATCTCTTCCACAGCTTTTTATTCACTTATTAAGAAGGCCCTCCACTGAACAATAAAGTTAAATATTTATTATATTGCTTTGACCTCACTATACAGGAATATTAAAAGTCCTCTTTCTATAAATAAGCAGATAGTTCTAAATGGTGAAAAGAAATAAAATTATTTACCTGGGGGCAGATATCCTTATAGTAACTCTCTGGTGAAAGAGACTGCTGGGGACAAGAGGCCAAAATCTTTGCAATCAAGTCACACTTCTTCCAGTCAGCAGCTGTCACCTCAGCATCACTCCCACCAGCTGCCCCAACTGTCAGAAATAGATGTCAAAAACTCATGCAGTTCCCCATACAAAGTCCCGTGTTAAGTATCTTTAAAATGTACAGCCCAAAATGCATTTTTATTTGTAGAAAATATTTTCTTCTATAAGGAAATCTACCCTTCTGCACTTTCCTTCAATCCTGGTTTCTGGGAAATAGCAAGGAAAAAGTGGTAAAAGTACTCAGCTGCTAACCAAAAGGTTGGTGGTTGAAACCCACCGGCCACTCCCCAGAAGAAAGATGTGGCGGGCTGCTCTTGTGAAGATTATAGCCTTGGCAAAAAAAAAGAAGGTGGGGACCAGGTTTGCTGGTCCAATGGAGCCTGGTGTAACCACTGAGACTATGGCCCCTAGCTGCCCTTCAGGTCTGG